GGGTCAGGCTTTTACCTCCTTTAAGTAAACAGATTCCCTCACACACACACTTCCTCTGTCTTAGCATTCAAGAACTATGGCCTATTTCTGAGAATACAGCTTCTTAGAAAGCAAGTAAGCCAAACTTCTCTGACCCTCTGTACCTTGCCACAATGGATTTGTTAGCAAACCACAGATGTTTCACAGAGAAGATGGAAAGATCTGGAAAATCAACATGATCACAGATCTTTTTGGATATTTAACTGCAGAAATCCTTCAGACAAGTCCTAATTCCTTGTGGTTTACATACACACTTTATATTATCCAGGCTTTTCATGTGAAAGAGTATCAGGAAGTATCTGTCTCTGCATTTGTATGCAAACTTAACTGTCTTCAGTACTGCCAAGGCTATCTAGGATTTGAGGCAAAAGGTCCCTAGTATATAGCATGGAAGTTCTAGTATTCCAAATGAATATTGATATTTTCAGAGAAATATTGCTGCATTCCAATCAGACACCAATTTCATCTAGGATGTGTTAACCTGAATTTGAAAGAGAGTTTGGAATATAATCTAAAACTACAAATGGTTCTTTGGAAATGGAGGAGGAAGCTAAATCAAAGGTCTCTGAGTTGATCTATTCTATATAGGTTCTTCACCATAGTTTCTGAGAGCCTTCCAATAGTGCATTAAGTGACATGACTAACAGCTATCACATTTATCTTATCTCCAAAGGGGGTAAAGTATGTGCAGTGGCGTGTCTTGTTCTTGTCGGGGTTTTTGTTTGTTTTGTTTTTAATGTACATGTTGCTATGCATGCATTAGAGAAGGCAAGATCAAAGAACTGCACCTTGCACTTGGAGTGGAAGATGAGGTTTGTGATGGTCTTTAGCTCCTGCGGGAGTTCATTCCACAGTCTTGGACAGGCCACTGAGATAAAGTTCTGTGTCCCACATAGCTAGAGTGTGGTGAAGGATAAGTAGAGCTGTATGTCACCTGCATGTTTCTGGCTCTTGAGTCCATGTCCTCTGATCAATTCACCTAGTGGTTGTATGTAGACATTGAAAAGGACTGGAGAGAAAATTGATCCTTTTAGGACTTCATAAACGAGGGGTCTACTGATGGAGTTGCATTTTCCCATAATTACTTGTTAGGTATGTCCCTCCATAAAGAACTCAGTCCATTTTAGCACCTAACCCTGGATGCCTGCCACCTCTCTCAGGCAAAACAACAATATCTCGTAATTGACCATGTCTAATGATGCAGAGAGGTCAAGGAGGGTAAGAAAGGATGTCTGCTCTCTTTCCATTGACAGGAGGAGATCATTCATCAGTGCCACTAAAGCAGTTTCAGTTCCATGTGCTGGCCTGAATCCAGATTATACCAAGTTAATAAATTTCCTTCAATAAGATGAGCTTGTGATTTGCCTTTGACTGGCTTCTCTGTGAGCTTGCTTAGCTATGGGAGGCTTGATACTGGGAGATAATTGGCTAGAACCAATGTGTCCAGGGTGTTTTTCTTTGGCATTGCTCAGACTACTGCATGTGTCAAGGAGAAAGGGAAGATTCCTTCCTTGAATGAGGTATTGATTATTTTGGTCTGGTCTGGTACCAGTTGCTCATGACTCTTTCACAGGCCAGGAAAGGCATAGATCCGATTCACAAGTCTTGTGTTAAGACTTTGAGTGTCTAAAACTTCCTTGAATGAAATTACTGAACTCTGGGGATGCAGGTGGACTGGTGGTTGGTGAGTAGACCGTGCTTATCATTCCCAAATACTTTACAGACTATTACTCAAACAATGTTTAGGCATCATTTCATCACGGAAATGCAGCAGCTGTCTTAAAAGCACTTAATAGCCCTGTTAGGACAGGAAGTAAAGGATTCTGTGTCCCAGTGTTTCCCAAAGTACAGTGGGTGACTTGGGGTGTGTGTGTGTGTGTGTGTGTGTGTGTGTGTGTGTGTGTGTGAGAGAGAGAGAGATGAAGAACTAACTAAAGAGTATGGATAGACCCCTTAGTTGATCTCCAGAGTGTCAGCTCTTATTTAAAAAAAGTCTAACTATTATGGTTGCAAAGAAAACCTTGAAAATGTGACTCAGAATATAACCAATACAGCTATATCCGCCTCAGTCTGCAGAGAGCTTGAAACAATAGCTCTGAGGTGGGAACTGCTCCATTCATTTCAATAGGTGCTATCTCAGGATGCCAGTGATACTTAAATGTCGACATTGTTAACCATTTCACTGTTCATAGCATGTAAGAAACACGAGAAAGATCTGGGGGGGATGACACGACATGGACGACATATAAATTCAGATGGGTAGGCTTCTAACAACACATGGCAGGGTTGCAAAGGTTTGGTGGAGGAATACAGTTGGTTTTCATTTCCCAAATGGGAGCTCAGCTTCTAAAGGTAACATGGCTCTATCTTACTGAAACTTCAGGGGAATTCCAGTAGGCACAATGAAAATGCAAATCTGTAATTCAGCCCATCTATAACAGTTGAATTTATCTTTAAAACACCGAGGATGAGTAGACTACTTTTGATTCCAAACTAAATAGCTAAGGGCTAGTACGCTTAACTTCAATCTCCCCTCCCTCAACACTTGACCAGGCAACCTACCTGCCTCTCATGTCTAAATTGTCCACACCATTGCTTCCCGTACTTACCAACAGGTGTTCTGTAGAGGTTTCCCAGTCAAATTGTTATGATTAATCATATTTTGAGATCTAGCAGAATTAAAACCCATTGTAGTGTTTATGCGGATCTTTAAGAGTTTGTGCTTAGTGTCATTTATTCTGAGAAGCTTTGGTGTTTGGCTCCACTTCTTGGATTCAGCAGATTTGCAAAATTAATTTTTTTAACCTTTTTTTGAGAAAAGCCCATTACAGTGAAAAGTGCTTTTGTGAAAAAATAAATAGCTATCCTTTAAGCAAGTAGTTTTACACTGGGGAAACTTTTAAACGTATTAGACTTGGGGAATGAGGGGCTATCATTGTGTAATGCAACTAGAGCTAGCTAGGAAAGTAAATTTCACTTCCGTGAAAATTTTTGAGGGTTTTTTTTTTGTAATTTTTGTTTTTGTTTGTTTGTTTTTTAAAGTAGGGAGCAGGGAGAGTTGTTGTCCTGATCAGGATATAATGTCAAAACCTTGACAGTTTTTGCAGAAGTGAAATTCTACTGTACTTTGGGATCCTTGACTGCAAGGCAGCCTGCCAGGCGAGCTGTGGAGGAGCTTGGGAGCCACGGCTCTTGGGCTTTCAGGCTCTCAACAACTAGGCAGGCTGCAGTGGAGCCTGGCTCCAATGCTCCTGGCAGGTGGGCTGCGGGAGAGACAAGCAACTTGCCAGGTTTCATTCAAAAGATGAGTTGAAATCGATACATTCCTGCAAAACGTTTCGCTTTCAGTGAATTGGTGTTTTCTGATGGAAAGGCGTTCTGTCAGAAAATTTCCAACCAGCTATAAGTGTGGTCTTTCACTCGAAAGTTGGTGGTTCAAATCAAGCCTTAGGCTGTTAGCAACCCCACCCTTAGAGATTTTTACCAGCTTCTGGTTGACGTCCATTGACAGGCGGTGGTGTAATGCAAGCTTGCATTGCTGCACCCTGGATTGTGATTTTTATATGGTTAAATAGAGAATTTCACTTGCCAAAGCAGTCAGTCCCGCATCTTACACAACTATTAAATTCACACTCAAAATTAGAAAATAAATCAAAACATGAGGTTTTTTTAAAAAAAAAACTATTCACTTTTCATAAATTTTGGCCACCGTCTTTAATTACTTGAGATGCATTTAACCCATGCCTTTTTCTTTCCCAAGCCTCTTTGCACTTTCTGCTTATTTAAAAAAATTCTATTGATGTAAAATAATACAAAACTTCATGAATACAACTGACAATATTCAGCAGGAGGTTTTTCATAACATCTAGACATGTTCCTGCTTATCCTTGAATTGAAATCCTAGTGATGAATTGGCAACATGACATGAATTTCCATGGCAAAAGATTTGTCACAAGTCTGTAACATGACTGTGAGGTTGTCTGTCAGAAGAGGTGCCTGAGTTTCAGGCTTCCTCTCCCACAGTGCTTTCTGTAATAGCAGAACCCAGAGGAACTGAATTTAAACAAAACGCAGTGGACTTGCAAATTTGCTGAGGAGTTTTTTGTCCCTCTTAAAGGATTTGAAGTTTTTCTGAGATTAATGTTAATTGAACAAAAACTACTAATGTACTCATAGATATGTAAAACTCACCAAATCATCTCATAAATACAATCACATATTTCTCTATGGAAATGTATATACAGATAACATCACACTGGTGGTGGTGGTGGTGTTGTTTGTTGTTATATAAACATAGATCCTTTTATATTTGAATTCCTAGAATAAATGTCTAAACTACAGGTACGTGAATTGAATGCCTGTACGTTAGGTGTAGGTAAGTTAACTCTCTGTCTGCATTTAGATATGAAAAAAATCAATCTCCATCTAATAAAATCTGTTCCGCCTCTCTCAGCAATGCTTGTCTGATCTTTTAAGTTCATTAGAGAGCTCTCACTCATGACTATTAAAATGCATTCGGGTGTGCTATTGTTCATTATCTTAATCAGGGTGTAAGACTGCAAGCTACAGCCTATTACATTAAAGATGTTCATCAAATAATTATTTTTATAAAATTCCTAATCTGGAGAAATTCTGCTCTGTTCTCCTTTGAAGCATCATTGAATTTGAGAGAGATGCCTGAATTTTATGAAAGACCTTCATCAGTTAAGTAAATTTGCAGAATTTGAACTGTCCAGTCTGTTGTGCCCCAAGTCTCAGTGCATTGCAAAAACTGCTTGGTACCAGTGACTAATTATGTTTTGCCAGACACTCTATGCCTACTCTCTCTACCATACTGCACATTACAAAAAATGACATTCCTTATTGTAAGTTTGATCATATTGTCAAGCAAGTTTTATTAGGACCTTTATCACTTTGTAGATCGGAAGTATATGTAAACAATTTCTTTTTCCCCTTTCCAGGTCCTGGGAACGCCTACAAGGGAACAAATTAGAGAAATGAATCCAAACTACACTGAATTCAAATTCCCTCAGATTAAGGCACATCCATGGACTAAGGTGAGGCTGTCTGAGTTGGATAATGATGATGTGTGGGATAAATGTAACATTGCAGAGTTTAAGTCCAGACCTTGATTTCTGTGCTTGGTTGCTTTCAAACTAACCTGGGACCCTGTAGTTGAATCAGAACCCAATAACTGTTTATGTAGAGAAGGAGGAGGAATGTACCTAGGCTCTGCATTGAATTGTCCATGGCTCTGGTTTTTTGTGATTTGCCCATAGATATTTTCCAGGCTGGGTATGTATTTGTAACCATTACAATGCACTTATATTCCATCATAGCACACTTCTTGACCTGTGCAAAGAATCTCCTATAAATAAATACATTCTTTAGAGGTGGGTGATGCACTTTTATGATACAAGTACATCATCTCTGAATATAGGAGTGAGACCCACAGTGCAAATCAGTCCTGTTTCCCATCTCATAAACATAGTGAAGATCATTAGATTTGGAACCCCAGTAATATGCACTAGTTATTTTTTCTTCTATTACTTTTAAAAGATTTTTTTTGTTTAGTTCAGTTTTTCAAAGGAAGGGAATACTGCTACAAAATTTCTCAACAGCAAGTTAGGAAACCCAGCAACACAAATATGATGGCTTTCAAATGCTGAGGAATGAAATGCATAGATTGGCTTGTGGAAGAGTACATATATTCCCTCAGTCCTGCCAGTGACTAGTTCAAAATCATTTTGGACCAAACCTTTCACAGTGCTAGAGGCCTCGAGCAGATGATGTAACCTACTTCAGATTCTTTGAGATTGTAGGTTATGCACATTACTGGAAGTCAAATCAATATTTTGGTGATTTCTTCTCAGATGTTCTAAATACATGCTTCCTCTTCCCAACAATCCCTGGGTTGCATTTCCAGATCTTAGTTCTTTATTGCATGTTGGTTCCAAGACTGAGTGATTTATAATACTCAGAGGCTGTTAAATCAGCAAACCTGTTTATATTATGTGTTAATAGAAAAATTTCTGTGATAAGTAAAATTTATGAAACTCCATGAATATTAGCCTTACTTTCATTATTTCAAAATAAATCATGGAAAAAGCTACAAAAATTAGCCTAAGACATTAAAACAGTGAAGTTGTAGTGGAAAGTGATTCCAGTGTTGCATCTGGATGACTTGGTGTTGAGGGTGGGCTTTAACTGAATGCAGTATGTAATGGAGCCATAGCCTGTCCTGGTGCCATCTGATCATGAGTTTGTTCTTTCCTTGCCATTTAAAGTCTCAAGTAGCAAAAAGACCAGTCTAGAATGACCTTTCTAACAATCGTCTTTCCCTACTCTTTTAAAAACTCTCTTCCTCCAACATTTTGCCGTTCAGCCATGAAAGTTTTCTGCTAAGTGCATGGAGGACAATATCCACAACTGGATGTTTCCCAGCTATTCTTGTGCCATCTCTGATGGGATGCGGGGAAACAGTGCTGCCTGTCCTGCCCTTCAAATTTCCCACCCGATATTTATCTTCATTTTCTTTTAAACTAGAGTTGCAGAAACATTAATTTGTTAAACTGCAATTGTTCTTATTGAGCAGAGGGAAGGAAGGAATGAAAATTAGAAGCATTTGCTGAAATTTTGGTTAGAATGACATATGCATGTGTACTGACAACCATTACAGGTTGTCAGCAGGATTTGATCTCCAGAACCTTCACCATCAAATACAAACATCTATTACTTGAGCTAATGGAGTAACTTGTTAGCTGGCAGCATTAATAAGTTCTGTTCTCGTCTGTGCGGGCTAGCCATGGCAGGGACATGACATACACTTTACTTTACCACATCTCCATACTAATGAAGGCGGCTAGGGAGTTATGATGTAGAGCTCCATTGTCTGCATTTTGTTTCTGAGCCATACATTGGCCACTCCAGACACACATGGATATGCTATTTCATCCCCCATATTCATAGTATTGTTTCTGTTCACTAGTGGCTGGTAGGTCAAAAAGAGAGCAGCTGCTGCTGCTACTTTTGGTATCTGGTAGATCATCTGCTTTCTCAAGTATTAGAGCAACTGCTTTAATACCTGAGAGTCCTGAGTTCAGGTCTCAGCAGGAATATATTCCTCATATTGGCATCCAGTTTTAGGCATAAAGCAGGATCCTGAGCTTAAGTTTTATTGCTCTGTACACCGAGTTAAAGCTCACATTACCTGACACAGTGTAGAATGGTCAATACCAATACAGTGATGATGTCCATGTACAGAACTATGGCTAATGACATACAATATGAAGGATTGTTCATGTGTTCATATTACAGTAGTGATGTGTGATTCCAGTACAAACTCAGTTAGTTTGAGAACAAATCTCTGAGTGACACCAGATTTGGCGCTTCTAGCCTTTTTATTGTTTAACAGCCTGAAACCTAGTTCAAAGTGTATGTATGTCTAACTCTCCAACATTACTCTGTATAGCAGGGGTAAGCAACCTATGGCACGTGTGCCAAAGGCGGCACACGAGCTGATTTTCAGTGTCACTCACTGCCTGGGTCCTGGCCACCGGTCGGGGGGGCTCTGCATTTTAATTTAATTTTAAATGAAGTTTCTTAAATATTTTAAAAACCATATTTACTTTACATACAACAATAGTTTAGTTATATATTATAGACTTATAGAAAGAGATCTTCTAAAAACGTTAAAATGTATTACTGGCACGCGAAACCTTACATTAGAGTGAATAAATGAAGACTCGGCACACCACTTCTGAAAGGTTGCCGACCCCTGCTGTATAGGCTCAGATAGATGGATAAGTTCCCACTTGCTAGGAGATGGCGACAGAAGACAATTGAACCTTCTGCTGCAAAGGGAGCAGATAAGCCTAAATTTGCCTCTCAAGAAGAGAAATGCTAAATTTGCCTCTCAAGAAGGGGAATGTTCTTCTCTAATATTTTATACCACAATCTTAATACTTTTTTGTTCTTGCATATGTCCATTACACTAGGTATGTATGCATCTTGTGCACCAGTGCTACACAGTTTTCCCTAGCGGTACCCGCAGGGGCAGCCACACCTGCACCCTGCTTTTCCTTGTGCTGCAAGTTGAGGACATAAATGTGTGGAGTCACCCCTCACATCTTGTTGGTCCTGCTTTGAGCAGGGGGTTGGACTAGATGACCTCCTGAGGTCTCTTCCAACCCTTATCTTCTATGATTCTATGATCTTTCAGTTCCTTCTTACCTTCAGCGGTTGGAGCGTGCTGTCAGGTCATTTCCTCTTGCAAATGTGCTGTCTTAGTTGGATGACATTATACTGTTGTTGTGGCTGTCAGTAGTCAGTGAACTCCAGGCTTCACCTGATACCAGCGGAGCCTACACCAAGGTCCCTGGCTTCAAATCCTGCCCTGGATGTCACAAGCTGACCCTCACTCTCACGGCTTGAAGTGCTTGGGTGAGGGTCACATTAGGGACAGGTGTTTTGATTTGCTGGAGCTTCAAGACTGAGACCAGCTGCTTCCTTGGCACAGACAGCAGAGCCATCAACCGCGTTGACAGCAAAACAAAGGCCCATTTCTGTGTCAGCCACTCAAGAGGCCTACACAGCTGTGAAGGATCTACTGAGCTGCTCAGTATGACCCTCGCTGGTCATTCAGCTCCATGGTACCTTGCTGGGGCCATTGCACATGGTGCATTTGTTGGCTTCCATGTAGTGGTCTGCTACAGCGCCAGCTACACCAGGTCTTGTGCTGCTTCCCTTGGTCCCAGTGCCAGCTCCGAGACCAGCAGTAGCTACTTTGGCTCAGCACACAGTACTGATAACCAGTAAGCCCCAGATGTTGTTGCCAGTATTGCAGGCCCATTGTAGATCATGGTCCTGATCTCCGATGACTCTACCCAGTACTGCTTCACACTGGCCTTTGGAGTACTCATGCTTCTCCTCAAGAGTCTGGTGGGTTCCTACATCTCTGACTTCTGGGAATCTGGGGCATCCTCCAGGGATTGTTCCCATTCTTGGAGTTATCTTGAGTAGGTCAAAAGAATGGGAGTGCCAGGTCTAGGCACAACTCAATGGCCCTAGTGGGTACCATGGGATATGTTTCCAGTGTCTAGATTGTTATCTCTGCTGCATCACAGAAGTCAGTCACTGAGAAGATAAGTTTCACTGCCTAGTACTGGCAGAGCATCCAAAGTCTGTACTGGGCAAGCACTACACTACAGAAATATATCCCCAAAAGGGAGAAGTTTCTCCACACAGGCCACTCAATGTTGGTACCAAGATCCCATGGGGCACTGAGGATCAGAACCGCCCATTATTTGCTTCAGGCAGGTCTTCTACATTGGCAATTCAAGACCAGCCTCAGTAAGGTCCAAAAGAACCTGCCTCTTCTGAACACCTCGTCCGCCTCACCAGGTGAGACCCTGGTACTGGAGACATCTTCTCTAGTATCAGATGATGTTAAGTTCTACCAAGAACTCTCGAAAAGGATTGCTGTCCCCCTGGGAATATAAATAGAGCTTTCAGAGAAAAATCCCACGAACTAGATATTTTACACCTGGCTGTAGCAGGGAAATTGCTCTCCTTATAATTGAGGCAGTTATGCAGCCTATACAAACTTTATGGCAAACCCCCTCATCCCTCAAAGAGTTTTATCCACACCCCTCAGTAGGCTCCCTGATAGTGGCAGGAGTAAATGTGAGACACTGCCAAGCTAGAGCAAAAGCAACTCCTAAAGAAAAGGATACAAAGGAATTGGGCATTTTTGGTAGAAATGTGGGTTAGTCAACTGTGAGGTTACAGCTATGTATAGCAAACCATCAGACCCTTTTTGCCTATTATGATTATTCAAATTGGGATGCTACGTCCAAATTCCTCAGTTAGCTGCCCAAGGACACGAGGGACAAGTTTAAGTCTTTCCTGATGGAAGGTCGACTGATCGCAAGGTCTACTCTGCAGGCCTCCCTGGATGCGGCAGATTCAACTCAGCTGCCAGAGTCATGGCAACAGGAGTAACCATGTACCCGTCATCAGGGATTCCTGTAGAAGTACAACCCGTCCATCTCGAGCA